ACAAGGCTACAACAATGCAATGGGTCTTTGCATGTCAGCCCTACCAGGGTAAATTGTCTGGATTTAATTCTGAACTTAATAGGGAATCATGGAATGTTCTTGAGCATAAAACATACATGATATCTCAGAGTAACCACTTAGGGGAAAAAAAGGGCTGGATTGGGATTCGGAGAGAAGGAAATCTGTTGGGAGGCTACAACGGTCGTCTAGGTAACAGTGAAGGCTTGAGAGACAGCATTGTTATTTCAAAAGTGGAATGAAGGATTAGAGTATTAAAAATCATTGTGCATGATAAATTGGGAGGATTTGGTAATAGATTAGATATAGAAAATGAGAACTAGGAAAGTGCTGAGGGTGTTTTGGAGATTTGGAAACAGGCTAGGAAGATGAAAACACGTGGTCTCTCTTGCTTAGGAAGAAACTAACAAACTGATAGTCTGTAGAGGACATTTATTTTGCCCTTTCTCTTTGGTTTTAGAGGTGATGAATTTCTAAACTTTTATTATACATCATATAGATTAAGGATAATGAAAAATGTTATATATATCTAAGATTCTATAAAAATTAAAAATATACTTAACAATAAACAATAAGCGTGGTCATTCATGCACTTAGTAGGTATTTATTGAGTCATTATAGGGAAAAGAGAAACAATATAAACAAATGTGATTCCTGTGAAGTCAGAGAGTCCAGTGAGGGAGTCACACAGTGAGAAAAATACATTACTCAAATAAATGTAAAATTGTAGCTTTGACATAAGAGGGTAGAAAGAGAGTAGACTTGGAAATTTCTAACTAGAATGCAAAGACACCATATTCTAAACCAAAAAGCATAGCACATATTTTGGGAATAATTTGTATCACTATTATAAACTCTGAGTAATGCAACTTCCTATTGAAGGCCATTGTCAAATAATTTTATAGAAAATTGTCTATATAACCATTCCCATCATTGCAGTGCCATCTACTGGTGTTATGTGGTGGCTTCTCAATTACCAGTTTGGATTTTTAATGTGGAGAGTGGACATTGTGTCAAAAATGATTAACTATGAGGTGATTCATTTATTGATTGATGAGATTGAACCATTCCACAATGTATATATACCTCCAAACATCATAAGCATCATTTTAGTTATACATGATAAAAACATAATTTATCTATCAATTTAAAAATGTATTTTAAACAGACTGAAGGAATTTATTCTTAATTTAAAATGCAATTAATTGTGGCTCTTCTACAGGCAAAAAATAAAGAAGATTATGTCTAGTGTGGGACATTTGTTTGCTAAAACGCTGTCGCTGGTTCTAATATGTGTTTCCGCATGGATGAACCTTTAACAGAGGTTCTCAACCAGTGGGTCGTGACCCCTTTGTAACAATGAAAATACATCGTAGCATTAGGAAGGTTGAGAACCCCTGCTTTAGAATATGATGCCAAGTGAAGTAAGTCAGCCAAAAAACACAAGTACTGTACCATTCCACTTATTTGAGATATCTAGAGTAGTCACATTCATAGTGACAGTAAGCAGAAGGGTGGTTGCCAGAGGTTGTGGGGAGAAGGAACTTGGAAGCTGTTTAATGGGGATGGAGTTACAGTTTTGCAAGATGAAAAGTTCTGGAGATTGGTTGCACAACAATGTATATGTTGTGTAATGTTAATTACTCAACTGTACACTTAGAAATGGTTAAGATAGTAAATTTTGTGTGGTGCTTTTTTTTTACTGCAATAAAAAGAACTGCAGCTATATAAAAAATGTTTTTACTATATTTATGATTTTAA